CCCCCTAATGATGCAGTTGCCCCATATGGGGATCAAACTTAAAACCTTGGCATTATCAGCCCCACGCTCTAACCAACTGAGCTATTCAGGCATGCTGTTACTTCAGATGGAAGCACAGGCCCCCACTGAGAACATCAGGCAATTAAAAAATAATCCTCAAAATGTCAAAGCCACACCCCTTTTTATACTGCCTTGAATTTACAGAGGCATGTGTGTCAATCTCCTGTCCTCTGGCCATCAGCTCTTGGACGTAGCTTTACAACAGATGCTGGGGGCATCAAAAACAGCCCTGTGGGGTAACACAGACCTATCAGAATCAATGCATTGGTTCTGAGCATGTTCAGAGCAGCAACAGGAAGTGTTTCCTACTCTGAGGAGCTTTTTCATGTGTTTGGTTTAGTTTAGCAACCTTGCTAGACAGAGAAAGAGAAAACAAGCAAGCAAGAGCAATCCTCTTTCTGTAATAAATTCCTATTTTTTAAACTTCGTCATTTTGCTTAAAAAAAGAGAAAGAAATGGGAAATTGGGAGGAGAGGTAATGGAAGTGTTGCAACAAACTCTTTAGCAACCATTTCACTCATTAAAAGTTGCACCAGCTGCTTGGTTGGGCATGGCCAATAAGGCAGATTTGAGCCATGGACCGCTCTAGAGTATTATTTCCAGAAAAGGTATGTGGAACAAGCCCTTCCCCTAAAAGGGGATACAGCTTGAATGGAGGAAAACGCTGTCGCTGCTGTTTTGACCTTGCTCTAAAATGAAAAGTTTGGCTGCTGTGACATTGAAGATATCCTAAGTTTTCACCTCATTAGGTATAACTGACATCACTTGGATTCTTGTTTGTATAGCTGCGACAACAGACATTCACTGAAAGACTATGAAGCAAGCTATTATTCAGACTTTGGGGGTTTTTTTTAAGTGTGTTTTTAAATGTATTGTGTATGCAACACCACCCTCAGATTGAAAGGCTTGTATTTGAATGGTGTGCTGTGTATTCCTTGCACATGCAGCTTTGCAAACTATCTGGTGACTTTCAAGCATTTTTAGAGACTATCCATGGAATGTATTAGAATATTTAGGCTTTCATTTCATTTCATATTGTTAAATGTCAGCAACAATAATGCCGGTTTGTCTTTCAGTATGCTAACTGCTGTAACATCTGGAATAGTCAAATAATGAGTTGTTGTTGTTTTTTAAAAAATAAAAACAAATTAGAAGATAAATAACTGTAACTGTTAATGACTTCTGTGATACAGTTCGTGAACTATGGAAGTATCTGTTGTCAACTTAAGTACATGTTTTGCTTCATAGGATTTACTGTTAGGATTGGCACCATTAGTGTGCATTTCATGTGTTCTGTTTATCCGAAAATGATTTGGCGGGGTGGGGTGAGAGATGACAATATTTTGCTGCACTCTGCTGATACGTTAGTGGCACTGTCATTACTAAGTTGGTCTTTCATGTAACTTGCTTTGGAGTTGTTTATATGCAAGTGAAGGGAACCTTCAAACTGGCTCAGACCCCTTAGTTGAGATTTCTCACTAGTAAGAGGCACTGCTCCATACCGAGGCCGCAACATTCTGCTCTCCATTTTGATCAACTTTTTTATTTACAGTTATTTAAACCAAACAGGACTCCAGCCAACGCTGCCAGCACTTCTATCCAAAGGTTAACAGGTAGCAGGCGTGGGGGCTGTTAATTTTTAACTTCAAATCTCCTATGCGATTTTCCAATAGGTCTCAGGATAAGGGGGCCAAAAAAGCTATTAGTAGCAGATTCTGAAGATAATTCTGAGAACTGCATAACTTTCTTTGCAGAGAGAGCCAATATCTCTCAGAAACATTTACAGTCAAACTTCCTTAGCTTTGTTGTTGAGGCGGCTGATTCTGTAAACCACAACGCCTGACTGCAACACTACTCTCCCCTCTTGAGGTATCTAGAGACTAGTATTCAGAAGCATGCTGTCTCCAATCGTAGACAGTGCTTTTCCCCCTAGAAAAATAGGAGCCGGTACTCGCCATGAAGCTGTTACTTTAAGTGTCACACTTTATAACCAAAAAGAGAGAGGTGCACTGCGCTACTCACCTCAAAGTGGCTACAGTAAGTGCCACATTTTTAAATTACAACAAAAATAGGTGCTGGTACTGCGTGCCTTTGAGTACTTCTGGGGGGAAAGCACTGAGAGTCATCAGGGTGAGTAGTCACTGTGCTGAGAATTTGTCCAAGTTTGTGGCTTTCACTGCCTCATGTGGGAGCAAACGCCAGACACTGCCATTTACCTGGTCGTAAATAGATCTGAACTCTCCAAAAGCCCTTAATTAAGCAAGCCCTCTGCATTCCCAAAGGAAGCCCTATAGCCCAGAGTAAGGGAAGCAAGACAATCCCTTCCTTAGCCCATTTTAGTCAGGCTAGTAGCTCTGCTGCGTTCCTGGTTGTTGACTTTGAAATAATTATATTTGTTCCCTCAATGCTGTTTGCTCGGAGAAATGTTTTGATTAACCAGCATTGTGTTATTGTGCTGAAAAGGAATTGTTTTATTTATGAATGCAGATAATAATGGTCCGGCATATGCTTCTGCTGCTTAGAGAGATGGTGGCGGAGGCAGAAGAAGAGAAACGGTTGCTATCGTCCTCTCCCATGGTGTGCCTGCTTTTAGGACAAATGTCCATCCAGGAAATTTTGCAGGAGTCTAATCACACTGGCGCTCTATAATTACACCGCTTAATTGTTTCTGGATGGTTTGAGAAATGCTTTGGTGCCATTTGTCCTTTCAGAATCTCACCCAGACGCTTATTACTGTGCTTATACATCCCAATGGACCTCTTACTAATTTTTCCCTGTTTGCCTCTTTCCAAACAAAGCAACCTTTTACATTTGCATTCATAAAACCGTTGCACCTCGCCTGTTCTGTTTTCCTGCTGGCAATTCTAGCCCTGCTTCTGTATCCCCGTTTTACCTCCAGTAATCTCTGAAATCATACACATGCTCCTCTGACTTAATGCAGTGGGCAAACAGGTGCTCTTCATTTCCAGGTGGGAGAGGGGGGGAAAAGCTTAACTTTTTGTAATACCCAATTTTCCCGGGCCACATTCCATTAAGTTAAAACGCCTGAATAACCAGTATAAAAACTGAATTCTACTCTACGGCTAAACATATTGAAGCACAATGAAATGTTTCGGGCCGTTTTTGAAAAGCAGATCGCTGTATTTGCAGTATAAAAAACAACTTTAACTACGGAAGACTGGAAATAAAAGAGTATACATGGTTTTACACAACAATAGCAGCTTATTTCTTATTTTTTAACTGGCCTTGAGAGGGGATCTAAATGGGCAGTGAGACCCACTTGAGAGTGCAAAACCCTAGCTGTTTTGAAACCATGAATCTGAAGCACTGAGCTCCCCACAATAATCTTGGGAGCCATAGTTTACCCTTCACAGAGTGACAGTTCCCACTACCCTTAACGAACTACTGCATATATTGTAGCACAAGCGATTGACATTATGTGCCCACTATTCTTGAATACTTGTTGGGATAAAGGTCTGAAGAGCTGCCCTCCTCAGGCTCCCTATATAACTGAGAACTCTGAGAACACGCATAGGGGAAGCTTCCATCTTCAGAATACTTTTGCTTCCCATTCCACCCATGACCATTCTCAACTGCAGAATTTTGAGAGGTTACAAGGTGACGTTTTGCATAACACAATAACATGACTCTGGCAGCATTGCCATCTTGACAGATGCGTTTCACAGAAAAGCAAGCTGCACATAATTTTTGTTTCCCCCCCTTCTAATGTAAGCTGAGAAGTGGTACCAAATGTTCAGCTGACAGCATGGTCAGAGGCTATTCAATTTAGGCAATATTTGTCAAAAGTGGTGTCCTGCATTTTAGCACCTATTATCTTTCGATTATGATCCCCTGGATACTTGGTTTGAATGAGATCGGAAGAATTAAAAATGGCCTCACAAATCACTTCTTAATCTGGTGAAGTAAGCAGAGGGTGAAAAACATCCTGCTGTCATTTCGGTGAGTTGTAGGGACAAAAAAAAATGTAAATAAAGGAAAATAAATCACTGGTTGGTTCACACTTCATCAGCTGCCTAACAACCTGTAGCCAGTTAATTATACACCCTTAAAATACATGTATAAGGGGAAATGATTCAGAACTCTTTTAATGGGATGCAGGATAAATACATTCCTTCTAAGCGTGTAACCCTTCGTGTGCTTTTGTAAAATAGGTTCTCATGACAATGGAATGGTTTGGGCCTATACCTAGAAACAAAAAACAATTGTGTGCATTCAGAAAATACAGTAAATAGTTAACAGTACTGTAGGACATGGCAGGAGCTGGTGCAAGGTGCTGGCTACAAGGATGTCAGGAATCCCTAATGAATACACTAGGACTGGGTGGCCCCTAGCCAAGCTCTTGTCCCCTGAGCCTCGGTCTTCTCCATCTGTAAGGTGGGTGCAATTATATCGGTCTACCTAACAGGGCTGTGGTGGAGTGTTGTCAGGAGTGCCAAGGTCTGCCACCATTTTACATCATGTTCCCAGCCAAACTCCTTGGCTCTAGATCCTTTTCTTGTTGCCTAAAATCCTAGGCGAGGCCAAAGCTGTTTTAAATTTTGGTTTTATTTAATGCTGTGACCCATCCTGGGACCTTATGGTGAAGTGGAGATAGCAAATAGATGAAGTTACAGTAATGATAAATAACAGTGGCTGAGTTCCTTGTCCACGCTTGTCTGGAGTGGCTCAGTGTACACAATGGCTCTAAAAATGAGTATAGGATCGCAGCCTTATGAAATGTTATCAAATTTAATTTGTACAGCGCCCTTCATCATCAGACCTCAGCGTGGTTCGCAGAATAAGACGCAAGATAAAACGCAAGTAAATAATTACACCAAGTAAATGATAAGTTGTGTTTGTGTGAGTGCTTAAAAGTATTGTCGCACTTTGAATTATAGCAACCAGATGAAACACCTGCTGTGCCTTTAGGGGCTTTCCTAATGCTGCACAGCAGGCGCCCATTTCCCAAACTACGAAGCGCTTCTCTGGCTGACGAGAGAGAGGAGCTCCCGCCTATTTTGACGCGGCGCTGGCCATGCACACGACCTCGCGCCCATTCGGCCACCTGCACTAGCGCCCCCGTTCCAACGCTTCGCTCTCATTCGCCGCCCACGAGGGCTCGAGAAGCAACCCGATTGGTTGCCCTCACCCCAGGACGAGCTCTGCCAGGTGTCTGCTGAGGTAAAGTGGCGGGGGTAGCGGAAGGGAGAGAGCGCGCGCCTCTCTTAAACCAGCTCGCGAGACTCCTCCCCTCCGTTCGGCGAGAAGGAGGGACCGCGCGCACGCGCTCAAACACCCACTTACCTACCCGTCCCTCCTTCGCAACTCTCGCTTCCCTGCCGAAAGAGCGCACGCGCGGCTCGCCTCCTTTTTCTTTCTCTCCGCCCCCTTGGCGTGGTGGCGTCAGCGCCGAAAAGCGGTGAGTCGGGGCGGTGCAGTCGCGAGTGGCGTTTCTGTGTTGAAGGGAAAACGGGAAGAAGGAGCTGGAGTTGCGGGGAGCTCTACGGGGGCCGGCGGGGCTCAAGCGGCCGAAGGCGTTTGGAAATGTGGGGGGGATGGGCGCGAAACAGTTTCGCGTTTTCGCCGTGAAGGGAAATAGAGAGAGCCAATTGAGGGTGGGATTATTTATTATTATTACTCATTTTGCGAGGGTGCTCCAGTTAGCCCCTTGTTGTGGCGAAATGCAGCTCTGCGAGGCAGGCTTAAGACTGTGCCTCTGAGGGGAGATTTCCCCGGTCAGAGGGGAGAAACGGGGAGGACGCGACCGGTCAAAAAGGCTCTTCCTCCGGTCAGCGCAGTGAGGAGGAAAGTCCAAGTTGCCGAGGAAGGGAGAATATGACCTGCTTGTGGTGCTTGCTTGCCTTCATTCTGACAGGAGGGAAAAAAGGCGCTAGTCCTCATCTTGCCAAGGGTATTGGGGGGAACGCCGGGCGTGCAAGCAGCTGCTGCAAAGAACAGCCTCCCCCCCCCCCCGCCTCGAAAGGCGGCGGTGTCTGCTGCCATGGGGGGTGCAGCACCTTCCCTTGCCCTGAGGTAAATCAGGGAGTGAAGGGAGCTGCGGTGGATGCTCCTAGTCAAGTGTTGAAGGTAAAAGGTCTTCACCACTATGGCCATAATAAGCCTGTGTGCACTTGGAAGTGAACATGCAATAGGTTTGACGGTGTTGCCTCAAGATCATTGGTTTAAAAATCCACCACACATGTCGCAAAGGAGCTTCTCATTCTAGGAAGGGACTTCTCCTTCTGCAGCTGGCTTAGTGGGATGAAAATCCTTAGTCGGTGCACGCCCCCACCCCCACCCAAATCAGGTATTCCACCTATATGTGGATTTATATCGCTTACTTAGGAAACACCCAAGTCCAACAACACTTCTTCTTGGTCGCCTGTATGAGGTCATTTGTCTCTGCTGTTCAGATGACAATAAGGACCAGGGAGGAATCATTTCCACTTAAAGAGGGGTTATATAGAGCAGGGGTCAGCAAACTTTTTCAGCAGGGGGCCGGTCCACTATCCCTTAGACCTTATGGGACTATATTTGGGGGGGAAAGTGAACGATTTCCTATTCACCACAAATAACCCAGAGATGCATTTTAAATAAAAGGACACATTCTACTCATGTAAAAACATGCTGATTCCTGGGCCGGATTTAGAAGGCGATTGGGCTGGATTTGGCCCCCAGGCCTTAGTTTGCCTACCCATTATATAGAGATGTAAACTTAAGATGTGTGAAGTGGAGAGCTTTTATGAATAAAACCATATTCTTCAGGAACTTTTGAGGTTCACATGTATGACTTTCTGAAGCTACCCCAAGTGTAATTGTTTAATATTGAAAATTGGTGTTGGCATAGAACCAAATGACCTGCATCACAACTTGCCACTTGTGCTGTTACTTGGGGTAACCCACCTGACTGGTGCAAGAAATGGGGATAATAAAATCATAGAATTGTAGAGTTGGAAGGGACAACAAGGATCATCTAGTCCAACCCCCTGCAATGAAGGGATCTTTTTGCCCAACTTGGGGCTTGAACCCACATCCCTGCTTGTGAATCTTTTCCCATATAAGAAAAAGCTTTGCCAGTTAAACTTTCCTATGGAGGCTGTTGTAAAAGCCACCAGAGCAAGGCCAGGTAAAGCAAAACAACAAGAGGAAACACTGTTACTATTTAAGTAGGCAAGATTACACACTTGCATTCAATGTTACTTAATCTAAAATATTTGCCACTTCTTGGTTCATAGTCATTACCTTTGATTAAAATCACCACATGCCATAAGCATGCATTAAAAGGACAGTAAACCCACTTTATCCCCCACTCTTTGACAACCCTTCATTAATTGTAGTATTGAAAAGGTAACCGATAACAGATCTAAGCAACACTTTGAGGTTGTCTTCTAGATGTAAATTTAATTGTCATGTTTCTATCCCCAATTGCCACAATTTCAGCAGCTAGATAGTCTTAAGTTCCATCATGGTCAAAGAGTTGTGGCATTTCTTCAAGATGAACTCATTTTCTGCAACCATTATTCTAGTGATGGTGTTTAGATTTGGAGCCCTATTTGCAAAAATATTTATATTTTATAGTGAAAAGGTAAATTCTCCACACACAGCATATATTGTATTTTTTACATTTCCTTTACTTTGGGCTATAGATGTGTTTGTTTTATTTATGATATTTACATTGTGTGTCTGTGTGTTTTAAAGCAAAATGTAGCATATCTCATAAAAGTATCCAGTTCAGCAGGACTTTATTAGGAAACACTAATTTCAGCAGGCTGCATAAGGAATAGTTGAGCACAATACAGTGATACCTCGGGTTACAGACACTTCAGGTTACAGACTCCGCTAACCCAGAAATAGTACCTCGGGTTAAGAACTTTGCTTCAGGATGAGAACAGAAATCATGCTTTGGCGGCGTGGCGGCAGCAAGAGGCCCCATTAGCTAAAGTGGTGCTTCAGGTTAAGAACAGTTTCAGGTTAAGAACAGACCTCCAGAATGAATTAAGTTCTTAACCCGAAGTATCACTGTATTTATTGAATACATTATTAGGAGAAATCATTTTAAATTTGGGGTACTGTAAAGCTAAATGAAGGGTATCATATTATTGCTTGCAAGCTTTTGGAAGTGATGCCACCATTTGATAAAACATAAATCTACATATATTTACTTCTTACAATTGAAACAGACTTCATGTTTTAAATTATCTCTGCAAAATATTTAATCATACTGCAGAATAATACTTATTCAAGCAAGATGAACTTGATTTTACAGAATGTGGAGGTCAGTAACTCGGTATACTTTTTGACTCCATAGTGTAAGCCTAGGTTTTCGGAGAGAAAAATTACTAAGATCCGGAGATTTGTGAAATGTAGACATAATTCAATCCTATTAAGGATGACTCACTGAATTCTTTTATTGCTGGTTTTAATGGGGTGGTTCTTTATAGAAGTTCTCTACACTATAGTTCTAGAATTAATATGTGCCATATCAGTGCAACACCAAAGGATTCCTCAAATAGGTTTTCACTGTCCTGCGGATTTAATTCAAGTTGTAATAATATGCCAAAGGATCAGGCTAGGATGCTTTGAGGTTACACTGAGAACACTGAGGGCATTTTGTGCACTTCAAAGCACTGTAGCACAGACTCAAACACATGTGTCTCGAAGAAAAGGAATAGTAATAAAATCAAACACAGAAAAAACCAATTTTCCTCATGCTGTTACAAAAAAGGCTCACACAATAAAATTAAACTGAGTGACAGAACAGTCCATCTACTAGGACTTTGTAGTGAGCCATTGGATGTCATTTTGTAATGCTGATAGTTAGAGCTGAGATTTCTAACAAGACCAAAAGGAGGGGAAACCCATAAATGTGAAGTCCTGCTTGACAAAGAACCTTATATAGGCCAGGGACCCAGTGGTGTAGCTGGGTAATTTAAGACCCTGGACGTAATAGCCTTACAGTGGCAAGGGCTTTAGACAGCTATATGTACTGCTTCAGCTGTGAAGCATACAAGCGACATTTTTTCCACCCCCACTGGCATTCCATGCTTAACAACAGCTTCTTTTTTTTTTTTAATAATATTTATTGAGAATTTTAAGATACATGCTTAACAATAGCTTCTGCATATCTGATAATGTTAGTGCAAACAAAAAACAGTCTGCCAACCCTGAATAATATTAATACTTTGAGGATGTGCATTTACTCGTTTTAATCTCACTTAAATCAGCACCATTATGACAGCAGGAATAAAATGGACTTTACCCATATTCCAAACAAGTTTAGCATTTGGGTAGCTGCACACTTAGCAAGTTCAAACTTAACTATCGTTTGGAACATGTGTGGACCAGGACAATAGTTTAAGGAACTTGACAGTGGATTGTGGCCACTGAGCCTTAATTTGGAGACATGCCTGTCTACATCTGGATTTGTAAAAGGGTTTCCTTAGAAACAAATGCCTTCACTGTCATGTTCAGTATATGAGTATCCAATAAATAATAGAATCATGTGTTTGCTTCTGTTTATTAAAGAACCTTGCATGTATGCCACAATGCTGGGGAAAGCTACAACATTCAGCTGATAAACATAATTCAGTAATTAGTTGTGTTAATGTACAATGAATGGTATTGGTAGAATCCCCCCCCCCCCCCCGCTCAACACACTGACATTGCCTAAAGCTTTCCCTTAGAGTTTATTAGCAGTTTGACATAATTTCTTGAACTGTACGCTTTTTGCTATTTTTGCAAATTCTCCCTGAAGCTGAATTGACGGGACAAATCTGGATGATCTTAAACTAGGAAACATGTCCAGCTGGTGACTCAGTAGAACGTGCTTTTTCTGACAATTTTACAAAGCAATTGGGACACTTAACCCATTTCCAGCGATAAGATAATAGGAACATGGTTGCAAACTGCTGAACTGAATGCACTTCTTAAATGGCAAAAGGAACAAATCAAGTTGTTTGAAATAAGCTGCTGCGTGCCATTGCCATTCCATGCCTCTTGCCTCTCCTTATGAAAAGCCTATCAGGGGTCATCTCCCTACCCTACCCCAATTTGCTTTGAGGAAGGTTGCTGTGATTTTACTGCTGTTTATCTTGTAATACATCAGTGGGTAATTTTTAAGTGCTTAGACTTGCAAATTTGTGAGTTGAGGCTTTCGGTGTATTACTTGATGAGTTTTGGCAGGCGGCTTGACAAACTGTGTCTTCTAATGTGCAGACGAGTGTAGGAAATAAAAATAAACATTTAAATGTAGAGAGCAATCTAAATAGCATCTCTGCTCCATATGTTGTAGTACCTGCTGGAGACCCATTATAGTCCCTGGACTTTTTGTACACTAACACTTCAGTCCAGATAGCGCTGTGCTCCATCTGCTGTAATCTCTAAGCTGCACAGTATGGGCTTCCTTGGATTTTGACCTGTTATTTGCTGGTTCTTTTGATCTTTGCTAGGCAGGCAATTTGCCATTCTCATTCCCCACCCTTTTCATTGTTGTTGCTGTAAACTATAGGGCAGTGCAATTGCTTCATTTTTATTGTTTATATATAAGGCAAATGCAAATGTGTGAGCCCTAATGGTACATACAAGTAAAAAGGCATAGACCTTTTATTTTCTGTTTCTAGCTTTTCTTGCTGTAGGATCTTCGCATAGTATGACTTTTTTAAAGGCAACATGGGTGGATCTCAGTCTAAGAGTATAGGTTGCTGCAGAAAATTGTTCCAAATCGCAACTCCCCCTCCCCCCAAGAATGACTATTCTAAGGAATGAACACCTGGCTTTGGTCATTGACACATCATTTAGGTTGGATCCCTGTTGACATAAAGCCTAAAATGACTTGCGGGGCTCTAGAGTTGCATAATTTCTCTTTCAATAACTTTGAGAAGTGAAGGTTTGAAATAAAAAAAGATCAAAGAAGGCACTTGATATTTGAATGCTTCCAAGTATTTCAGTATGCTAATATTTCAGTTTTTCATACCTGGATTCAGTTTTGTTACCTGTATTTGAGTGGTGATGTTAAACACAGCATTTCCTTGTTTCCGTCTTGTTAGGTTCAGTGTCTTTGCTTTAAAAAAAAACCCTGGCTCTACTCAATGATCTAGTGCTTTGGAAGCATTTTCTTCTGTTCAATTTTGCAAATTAAGCAGCATATTTGTCTGTTTGCACAGCAAATATTCTTTTCCATTGCAGAACAGCAGAGATTACAAAACATACAGCTAATAATTCATCTGAAAGTATCTGCTATTAGACAATTGTGTAGTAACTTTTTCTGGGTAAATGGCTGCTTCATCCGTTCACAGTTGTGGTGTATTTTTGATTTCCACGATATAGGGGGGACCAGTGGCAGAGCCCTGATGATGGTGTATTTGCAGTAGGCGGGGTGGATTGGCAGAAGGCAGATGCACGTTATCATAGTGCATGCTCAGTGTGTATTTTCCTTTTCTTGGTTGGATGGGATTGAATCTTGGTTTAAAGATGTACAACCATGACTGATGTGCTTACTTCTTACCTGCAGGCATGCATTCTCACATTGCAGAATAGTATTGTTTTACTTGCATTGCAAATGCTGTATCTCCAACTTTCGCAGACCACATTTCTGAGTCTTCCTGGACAGTTTCACACATCCAACCTAGAGCCTGGATAGCTCAGTTGGTTAGAGTGTGGTGCTCATAACACCAAGGCTGCAGGTTCGATCCACGTATGGGGCAGCTGCATATTCTTTCATTGCAGAGGGTTATACTATATGATCCTCAAGGTCCCTTCCCACTCTACAGTTCTGTGATTCCATGTAATCAAGTGATGATTGCCAAAGATAAAGCTAAACTGTTGGGTTTTCATTGGGTAGTAGTTTGTTTACCTATTATTAGATATTTACATTTATATCTCACATCTTTCTCCAAAGGAGCCATGGGCAGCAAACATGTCACTACTAAAACAATATAATTTTGTAAAAGGTGAAAAACAACGTTCTAAAAAATATCCTAAAAGCTCCTAAAACCTATCACATACTTTCAAATTAATACTTTCAGTTTTGCCAGGGACAGAATTTTTAGTCCTCAAATGCCTGGGTAAAAATAATATCCTTAGAATTCTCCTAAAATTTAATAGTGAAGGAGACTGACACACCTTTCTAGGGATGCAGATGGGAGACCACTACTGAGAAGGCCCTTCCATCAGTGACTGCTAACCAGGCATCTTCCTGTGGTGGAACTACCAACAGCCCCTCTCCTACAAGTTTATCTCTAACTCCAGATGGGCAGATTTACATTCCATTACTCTAAGTTCCCAAACGAAAATAACCAAGATAACATTAATAAACTAATATAAATAATAGTTTAAAAACTGGTTGCCCATAGTCAAGCCTTTCTTAACCTTGGATCCCTAGATGTTGCTGGACTACAACTCCCATCTTCCCTAGCTAGCAGGACCCAAGGTTAAGAAAGGCTGCAGTAGGCCAACCTGTTCCTCTGTGTGATGCTTTTTCCTGGGAAGAATGAGAAAGGAAAGACAACAACGCCCATCACCTTTGCCTATTGGCTATGCTGGCTAAGACTGATGAGCTGTTGCTGATTGTAATTCAGCAATATCTGGAGAGCACCATGTTGACTGTTCCTGTTTTAAGAGTATATGAAAAACAGGCAGCTATGATTTCCATAAGGGGGGAAAACTCTCAAGTGCACAGATGGGCCATACCTTTATTTGGATCTAGCCAACAACCCCACCACCACATATAAAAACATCATAAAACATAAAACATTAAAAGCTTCCAGATACAGGGGTGCCTTCAGATGTCTTCTAAAAGTTGTGTAGTTCTTTATCTCCTTGACATCTGATGGGAGGGCAAAAAGGCCCTCTGCCTGGTTCCCTGTAACCTCACTTCTCACAGTGAGGGAACTGCCAGAAGGCCCTTGGAGCTAGACCTCAGTGTCCGGGCTGAACAATGGGGGTGGAGATGCTCCTTCAGGTATACAGGGCTGAGGCCGTTTAGGGCTTTAAAGGTCAGCACCAGCACTTTGAATTGTGCTCGGAAATGTACTGGGACCCAGTGTAAGTCTTTCAGAACTGGTGTTACATGGTCTCAGTGGCTGCTCCCTGTCACCAGTCTAGCTGCCACATTTTGGATTAGTTGTAGTTTTTGAGTCACCTTCAAAGTAGCTCCACACAGTACTCCAAGCAGGTGATTACCAGGGCATGTACAACTCTGGTGAGATAGTGCATGGGCAGGTAGGGTCTCAGCCAGCATACCAGATGAAGATGGTAGACATCTGGCTGGACAGAGAATAATTGGGAATAGGTAATTAAGCTCTCCAGAAACCTTCATCGGGTTAAATGTTACGCAAAGCAGGAAGTGAGAGGATGAGGGAACACCCCTCCCATACAAAGTTTACGATGAATGTTGAAGCCATATGATCTCTTGTGGCCCAAAATATTGGAGATTACAGTATGACTGGGCTATGCCTAGGATTCTGGGACAAAACAACAACAACGGCAATCCCTGTTTGCTTTTTGTTGACAAATTGTATTTCATTACAACTAATGTTTTGCTTAAATGCTATTGAAATGACTTTGTTCCAAATTCTTGCTTTTACAGTGGCTCTACTTTTCTTCCATCTTTTAGATTATGGCACAGACCCAAGGCTTTGGGCGAAAGTACATCAAAGCCTTTTTGAAAGGCTTCTTTGTTGCTGTTCCTGTGACGGTGACTTTCCTTGACAGAGTGGCTTGCATAGCAAGAGTGGAAGGAGCTTCAATGCAGGTAACAATGCAGCTGCTTTTCCCCCAGTTCATTTTCACCTGCGTGGAGGCCTCAATTATAAATTGACAATCCAGTTTCAAAAGCAGGAGAAAAATGCAATTTTCAGCATTTTATGTAAAAGGCCTTTTCATTACAGAGAGGGCAGTTTCCACTGTGTTTGGTCAGGCAGGAGTTTCTTGTGTTTGGGGAGTGCAGAACTTAGCAGGGGTTTCCCCCCCTCCTTTTTGAGACATATACTTCTATTTCTTCGAGAGGCTTAAGAAATTTAAAGTATTCTATCTGGCTAATTTAGAATTAAGAGAAGTATTACCTGTTCTGTCAATCATGCCTGGGTAGAATGTGGTGTTGGCAGGAGAGTTAATAAATAGATGGCATAGCCGTGCACTGCAGCAGAAATTGCATTGGGAAAGATGCTATGTTTGAATTGAATTGTATTTTTTTAATAACTTAAGATGGATCTTGGATTTTTAAAAATAATTTCCCTTTCAAAACCAACTTTTCAAAGACAGATGTTTCCACGACCACTTACTTTCCTTTTTTGGGGGAAGGGGGGGAGAGTTTCTTCTAGAAACTTGATTCCTCCCTATCTTCTTTAATTTTTTGAAGTCCTTTATTTCAGTTACACACATGGCTTGCTTTATTTGTTTTACATCATGATTTGGAACAACCATCAGCCTCTCCCTCTTGCTTTTTCCACAGGTATAATAATCCTCTCTGCTTGTACTTTTTAAACTACAAGTTGTGTAACTATACTCATTGAGTAAGATGTGCAAAAAAGGATTTATGCACTTGTATCCACTTAACACAGGGACACGGGTGGTGCTGTGGTCTAAACCACTGAGCCTTGGACTTGGCAATCAGAAGGTCGGTGGTTCGAATCCCCACAATGGGGTGAGTTCTTGTTGTTCAGTCCCAGCTCCTGCCAACCTAGCAGTTCGAACGCACATCAAAGTGCAAGCAGATAAATATGTACCGCTCTGGTGGGAAGGTAAATGGCGTTTCCGTGTGCTGCTCTGGTTTCACCAGAAGTGGCTTAGTCATGTTGGCCAAATGACCCGGAAAAACTGTCTGCAGACAAACGTTGGTTCCCTCAGCCAGTAAAGTGAGATGAGCGCTGCAACCCCAGAGTCGTTCACAACTGGACTTAACTGTCAGGGGTCCTTAACCGTTTTTTTTTATCCACTTAACATAATCATTCATAATCAAACATCAATTAAAATGTGTTACATAAGCATAGAATTTTATTGTTGTGGTTGGACTGTTCAGGTCTATATATTGATTTCAATATTAAAATGCTGTAAGTTTCCTTTATTTTAACTAACCTGTATTTAATTGTGTCTGATTTTAGTTGAGGCTTCCTTATCTGGAGTGTTTATAGCATCAGAACCTCAGGGGAGAATGCTCTTTTCATGATTAAGAGACTTCTCTAGTTAAGGTAATCTTATAGTGATGGAGGGCGTGATGATAGTGAGGACCAGGACTGGAGTGCCCATGCTTTTAGTCCAGCTGGGTGCAGATCTTGAAGGTTTTGACACGGATGGCCTTTATGAGAGGCATGTTTCTGCCTGTCCCAAATGTCACTATACACCAGTTTCATGTGGTGCTGCGGTGGGAAACGTGCCTCGTTTCTGGATCAGCACAATTGGAGACTGTTTTGACAATTTTCCAGCTCATATGTAACACAAAACCAAACCATGATTTCACATGAATGAGCAGGTGTGCTGGTTTCTGAACGGGAGATTATGCCTGGTGTGCTCATTCCCAGGTCCTGCAGCTGCTGTGCTCTTCAGAACTAAGCTATGGTTTGACTTAATGTTACATCTGAACCTGAGTTAGGGTTAGCCCCACTCCATGCATTGTAATCAAGTTTTGTTCTTGAGTTTGAAGTTTCCTGGGTGAGTGGAACTGCATAGTCACTAGGAATGCGTGACACAGCTCTTGGTGGTCTGCATCTTTTCAGATTGCATGTGATTGATCTCATGTTCAAATGCTCCTCCAAAATTTTTATATATCCATGAAGATGACAGGTTAGCAGGTTAGGGAGAAACCTAAACTAGAACCCTTTTTCCTAATACAGGTGTACTTATAGAAACTGAAGTTAGTGTGAACTGTACAATATGTGAACTTTGAACCTGCAGTGTTACCTATGGAGTAAAATGAGGAACTAGCGCTTGGTGTTTGAACCCATCCAAAATTATTATTATTATTATTATTTAAAAGAAGTTATGGGATTGAATTGATCAGGATATATTCAACATCCAACTGACAGCGCTTCTGTAGGTACATGTTTTCTTTTTCTTGTTTTGCCTGAGGAAGGAAAACATGACAAATCATCTTCTTTTTCTTTATCTCACACTCCAGAGAGTGAATTATGTTGAATGTGTTTGAAAGCTATAGGATGTGATGGAAAGTGAAGTTTAGTCAGCATGACGCCTTTCACTCATCAATAACACACTTGCATCAGATATATGATTGTCTTGACTCTAAGCTTTCACCGTGCAATCCACAACGATTGGATTTGTAATAGACCTTTTAGACTCCTAGCTGGTTTTGTGCACTCATTATCCTATCTCATGCTGTGATTGAAATTAAAAGTTCTTTCAAAAAAGGAAGGAAATATGGCTTACTCTTCTCTTTTCAAATTTCCTTTTTTGTTTTTATATTCTGAAGTCGGGTAAATGTAGTGCAGCCCTGCAATTATGGGATAATGCTGCCGTGTTAAAATAACAAACAATTTATTCCAAATCAATTAAAATACATATCATTGTTCATTTTGTGCTGATTTTGCAATTGTTCAGTGCCAGAAGCCACATAGTTAAAACTTTTAAACCTGAGTGCAATTTACCTTATCGTGATCTCAGTTTTACATGAACTAGTATCTGATTAATGCACACCTTATTGTATCACGGTTGGATCATAATTTTCTAACCAGATTAATTTCTCAGATTATTACTGTTCTCTTGGAGCTAAGCCTTGATGCGCTCACCCAAAAAGTTATTAACATATTTCAATATTAGCATATTTACTTAATGACTTGAGCATATGTGAGACAGAATGCAGCTGGTGGGATAATTTAGTTGTTTGTTGCTATGGATTTTGTATCTTCTTTTTGTAAAGTTTGCGGGCTGGATCAGGGTTTCATGCAAATGAAACTTCTTTTCTTGTTCCATTAATTTTTATGTGTAAGCGCAAACATCACAGTACAGTGGTACCTTGGGATGCGAACGGGATCCGTTCCGGAGCCCTGTTTGCATCCTGAAGTGAATGCAACCCGCGTCCACGGGTCATGTTTTGCCACTTCCGCGCATGCGCGTGACGTCATTTTGACCGTCTGTGCATGTGCGCACGACGAAACCCGGAAGTAATGCGCTCCATTACTTTCAGGTTGCCACGGAGTGCAACCCGAAAATACTTAACTTGAAGCACATTTATCCCGAGGTATGACTGTACTCTTAATATAAACTGGGAGTGGAAAGTCAGAGGTCATCGCACATGTTGAGACATGCAGGAAGTACTAGCAGTGACAGAGCATGATTCATGAGCAGGGGTGCCAACTTGAATAAAATATTGGGGGGCAAGTAAGCCCCACTCCACATAACACGGCACACACACACCGTTTGAACAGCAGTGCCCATCAACTTTGGGGGAGTCCTCTCAAATATTTTATTGGGGTGGCGACAAAGGGACCTCAGCCCCTAGGAGTTGGCTCCTATGTTCATGAGTTTCAGAAGCCAAAGATAATGTGTCTTCCCCATCAGAGACCCTTTTTAATACTTGAGAGGTTTAGTTCTGTTGGCTTGAGGTCACAAAACTGAAAAGTGGACCTGTCATATGACAGAATTTTTCAACTGGTCAGTTAAGAACAAAGGAAGATAGGATGACCTGGTCCTACCTAACGTATATTATAAATATACTTAAGTTCATTTATCCTGTAAATGCCCATTGCCAACCGCAGTTATACAGTAAAACACAATAAGCTTTACCTACTTATCAAAAATGAAAACTCAGCTTTCTATTTATAAGTATGATGCCTATTGTGAAACAAAACAAGGCACGTGAAATGAATGTGTGTGGTGGTTTCTCTGACAGCGGAACAATTCAAATGAATGGCTTCCATTCTGAGTAATCTGAATGATTTTGCTCTCAGTATATTCCCTTTTAAAATAGCTTTTATTTTCAAAGGCCAGTACAAGTCTTATTCAGTCTCTGTTTTGCTCTGAGAATGAGGAATGATACAAATTACTCCTTGATTAATAATGCAGTTTTGTGGGAAAAACCTAATTGGTAGGTAGGTGTGGAATAACAGTGAAGCGTTGCAATTAACTGAGTGAGAACTGCGTAACTATCCATCAGTTATGGAAGATTTTCTTTTACATAAAAACATAATATATGAATACTGAATTGGAAAATAAAAAGTCTGAGGTGGAATGCTAGGAATGTTGCACCTGGCCAGAATTCCTCTAAATCTTGAATTTCGGCCTTGAAATGTATTGTTATGAGTCATCAGACATATCAGCCTGTCTTGGATCACTTCAGAGACTTTTAACAGTTCGTAGTCTGATATAAAACCAACTTCTGTAGCAATGAGAACTATTAGAAGGAGTAGTGAGAATTCTTCCCTCTGATTGACAGATGCTTATGCTGATATGCTTCTAGAGTTTTCTAGAGGTTGGTAGAAAGCTATGTCTTATTCAAACCCCCAACTCAGACTGCTGTATAAAGAGAACCCTGTTACATGTTCCTTGAGGTTTGGACATTACTTGACTTTTCTGTGGGGTACAGTGAGTACAGTGGTACCTCGGGTTACATATGCTTCAGGTTACAGACTCCGCTAACCCAGAAATAGTACCTTGGGTTAAGAACTTTGCTTCAGGATGAGAACAGAAATCGTGCTCTGGTGGCGCGGCGGCAGCGGGAGGCCCCATTATCTAAAGTGGTGCTTCAGGTTAAGAACAGTTTCAGGTTAAGGACGGACCTCTGGAACGAATTAAGTACTTAACCCGAGGTACCACTGTATTATATTCTGCATTTAAAGGACTTCACCCCCTGGACAGGCTATCTCAAGGTATGGCAAAGAGAGAGTTCAAAATTCATATGGGAAGGGAAGAGACCCAGAATTAAACATTTGATCTTAATAGATATAAAGGACAGATGAGGCTTCTCCCTACCAGATCTGAAATTGTACTATGAGGCAGCCTGCCTCACATGGTTGAAGGACTGGTGTAAACTGCAGGACCTGGACCTCCTGGATTTGGAGGGCTTCGACAATCGATGGGGATGGCATGCTTACCTTATATATGGAAAAGCCAAAATCTAGAAAAACTTCAGAAACCACATAATTAGAAAGTCACTTTTCCCAGTCTGGGAGAAATACAAAGAACTGTTGGAGCCCAAAGTTCTGTGGTGGACCTCCCCAATTGAAGCTTCCGTGGTGAAAAGAAAAAATACTCAGGAAATTTGGCCAACATATAAAACTCTTTTAAAGGAAGAAGATAACCATTAAAATTTAAAAGTTTTGAGGAATCAAAAGAGTACGTCTCAATTAGTTCCAATACCATCAGGTATATGAAAAATTGAAATCTGACAAACAAAAGGGTTTCATAACAGAAATCTCTCGATTCGAATCCCAGATAGTAAACTCTAAAAGAAAAACCCTCTCCAAAGCACACCAACTCCTCCTTGACTGGGAAGTCAAGGAGGAAGAGGTCACTGAGGCCATCGTTAAGTGGTCACAGGACGTTGGGTATCCAGTAACCATGCCACCGAAGCTTACTTCCTGGGGATCACAGATCTGGATATCCCACAAAAAATGAAGAGTATATTTTTATATGCCACAGTGGCAGCAACTTATTGCTACAAAGTGGAAGAGTGATGAAATCCCTTCTATTCATGAATGGATCCAAAAGTTAACAGATTATGCGGAGTTAGATAGTTTATCAGAAAAAATAAAGAACAAACCAAAACAGGAATTCATCTCAAAATGGGAAGTCTTTAAAGTTTATTTGAAAAACAATTACAGTAGTTTAAACTCTGTCACAGCGTTTGAATAACTTTAGTAGTAAATTTAAGAAAGATCTGAAACCTTAGATAAATCAAAACCGTATTTTTCGCTCTATAGGATGCACTTTTCCCCCTTCAAAAATGAAGGGGGAATGTGTGTGCGTCCTATGGAGTGAAGACGCCATAGCCCCGCAACCCTCTCCCAGCTGGAGAGGTGACGCGCGGCTATGGCAGGAGCCTCTACAGCCGCGCGTCACCTCTCCAGCCGGGAGAGGGCGCGCGGGGCTAAAGAAGCCCCCCGCGACCCTCTCCCTGCTGGAGAGGTGCCCCGCGGCCAGGGCAGGAGCCTCTCCGCTGCGCCTTTCTGCTGCTCCCTGACCTGCTCTTTGGGGCTGGTGGTAGGCTTCCCCCCGCCAGCCCCAAAGAGCAGGTTGAAAGGAACCTGAAGCCTGGAGAGCGAGAGGGCTCAGTGCACACCGACCCCTCTCGCTCTCCAGGCTTCCAAGGTAGCCGTCTGAACGCACCTTAAACGGCGCCTTGTTTTAGAGCGGGAAAACAAGAGGGGGAAAGTTCTCCCCCTCTCTGCGCAGCGCCTCCTGCCGCTTCGCTGAAGGGGTGCTGGGCAGAGAGGGGGAGATTATTTTTTTCTTGTTCTCCCCCCTCTAAAACAAAGTGCGTCCTATTGTCCGGTGCGTCCTATGGTGCGAAAAATACGGGAATTAGTTAATTTAAGACAAAAACGTGTACTGGCAACAAATAATAGATAATTGAAATAAGGAATGGACGGGAGGTCGGGTCTATAGTCCAAGGACCACTTTTTGTTTTATTGATTTGTAATTAATATTGTCCATATCATGGTTGGGTTTGTATTTCTTGTCTTATTTTTTCTATTTCTTTTTTGGTGTATCAAAAAAAAGGGGGGGAAGAGGGGGAAAAAGAGGACTTCACTGCCCTGGGAGGGCATACCCTATTTTCTCTTGAGACATACAGATGCCAACAGTCTAGAAGGAAGGGAAAAATAAAGTATGTTGCCCTGTGCTTGCCAGTTGCTGAGGAGTAGGCTGTCTGTCCATGCTGTGCATATCCTTTGCATGCTGTGCCTGCCTGCCTGCTGCATAGCCTCATATGATAATTAAACTGCAAGCTTAACTTCCCAACAGCGACCCAGATTATGATCTGTCCATTAGGAGCCCCTCCTATCATAGGACCGAGATGGCCCTGGTTGCCCTAACAGATGATCTCTGCAGGCAGCTGGATCGAGGCGGGACGTGGCTGCTGATTCTTTTAGACCTGTCAGCAGCCTTCAACATGGTTGATCATGAACTTCTGGACCACTGCTTCGCCAGTGGGGGGATCCAGTGCACAGTCCTTCAATAGCTCCACTCATTTCTCTCTGGTTGGGGACAGAGGGTGGCGCTTGGGGGGGGACTGTTGTCGTGCCACTCCTTGGTGTGTGGAGTGCTGCAGGGTGCGATACTCTCCCCCATGCTTTTCAACATCTTTATGCGCCCCCTTGCCCAGCTTGTCTGGAGGTTTGGTTTGGGCTGCCATCAGTATGCTGATGACACCCAACTCTATCTGTTGATGGATGGCCATCTTGACTTGGCCCCAGATACACTGATCAGATGGTTGGAAGCTGTGGCTGGATGGTTACGTGGGAGCCGGTTGAAGTTAAATCCTTTGAAGACCGAGGTCCTTTGGCTGGGTTGGGACAATATGGGATTGGGGGGCCAACTCCCATCTCTTGCGGGGGCGCCATTAGTGCCAGCGCCGTCCGTTAAGAGTTCGGGTGTAATCTTCGACACCTCCCTTTCTATGCAGCCATAACAAAGGTGGCATTTTTTCATCTCTGCCAAGCTAAGCAGTTGGCTCCTTAGCTCTCTCGCCCTGACCTAGCCACTGTGATCCACACGACGGTCACCTCCATGCTTGATTATTGTAACTCACTCTACGTGGGGCTGCCCTTGAGACTGACCCAGAAACTCCAGCAGGTGCAGAATGCCGTGACAAGGCTCCTTTCGGGGTCTGCCGCGGGATCACATTCACCTGGTGCTATACCAGCTGCACTGACTCCCATTGGAGTACAGGATCAGGTTTAAGGTGCTGGTTTTAACCTTTAAAGCCCTATATGGCCTAGGATCCTCGTACCTACAGGACCGCCTCTCCTGGTATGTCCCATGGAGGACCTTATGGTCAAATAAAAACATCTTGGAGATCCCGGGCCACAAGGAGGTTAGGCTGGCCTCGACCAGAGCCAGGGCTTTTTCGGCTGTGGCCCCGATCTGGTGGAAGGCTCTGTCACAAGAGACTAGGGCCCTGCGGGACTTGATATCTTTCTGCAGGGCCTGCAAGATGGAGCTGTTCCACCAGGCCTTTGGCCAAGGCACAGTCTGACCCCCTCTCTCCTTCTGTAATCCTCATAGAACTCTAGCCCAATGGTTGCCATTAATTTGATTCTGAATTGATTTAAAAATGTATTTTAATTAATTGACTGTGTGGTTTTATGTACACTGTGCTATTTTTACTTGTTGTTAGCCGCTCTGAGCCCAGCTTTGCCGGGGGCGGGCAGCGGGAGATATCTATCTATCTATCTATATCTATCTATATCTATATATCTATCTATCTATATCTATATATCTATATCTATATATCTATATATCTATATCTATATCTATATCTATCTATATCTATATCTATATCTATCTATATCTATATCTATATCTATATCTATATCTATATCTATATCTATATCTATATCTATATCTATATCTATATCTATATGTATCTATATAATTTATTATTATTTTCATGCATCTGGCTTGAAGATTGTGTGGCTGTTTTATTCCATCATATGTTGAGTGTGAAAAGAAAGGGGATCAGAAAAGGGACAGTGGATCATCATTTTTATTGATTTCTAGTCCCAGCTTACCACTGCCATTCAAGCAGGCAGATCCATATCGGGGGGAACTCTGAAAATGCACAAAATAGCAGTACATTAGTTAGTTAGTAGGGCTGAACTGAAATGTCCCCTTTTAACAGTTGATGAAATATAAGGATAAGCATTTTAGTGGGAAGGTGAATGGGGGGGGAGGCTATAGCAGTGGCACTTCTCTCTCCTTCTTCCATTTACAATAAAAAAAGCCCTTGGAATGATGCTATGTCACAATGCAGTCTTGTTCCAGAAGAAATGGGGGGGCAGGAGATGGCAGCCACCAGCTTTAACATCTGGGGAAACTGGAAGTAAAATACAGTGGTACCTCAGGTTACAGACGCTTCAGGTTACAGACTCCGCTAACCCAGAAATAGTACCTCGGGTTAAGAATTTGGCTTCAGGATGAGAACAGAAATTGTGCAGCGGCAGCAGGAGGCTGCATTAGCTAAAGTGGTACCGCAGGTTAAGAACAGTTTCAGGTTAAGAACGGACCTCCAGAATGAATTAAGTTCTTAACCCGAGGTACCACTGTACACAGTTTGATCACAGCCGCAGGAATTGATTCAACTCAGTTTTTTATGAAGCTATAAGGAGATCACGATAACTTTGGTACATATTTGACAGAGACTTCTTTCGATGGAAAGACACAAATAAAGAGTCTGTTGGCTTGTTAAAAACACATTTATTATACTTGGTTTGAAATCGTAACTGGGAAGCTGGAGCTTATCATTTGAGCTATGTAGGTAGGAAACATGAGAAAGTCAGTCCTTTGTGTTGTATTGAACAAAGTAATTGTGCTTGTGGAATGACTTCGACTTGGGCAACAAAGCTTTCCCTCCCTCTCCTTACACATTCCTGCTCCTCCTCCTAATCTGACCTGGGTTTCCCCACAACCCTCCATAGCAGATTTGACAAGAGGAGAGATGGGGAGTTCCATTGCATGAACAGAGGTAATTCAAGGGGTACAATTACTCCATTGATACAACCCTTTGCTCTCTCTGTTATTTTTTTATTTTTAAAAAACCTGTTAATCATACACAAGATCAGTAGCATCAGCAGAAGAAGCTACTACTGCAAGTGAAGAGCATAATTAAACGTTGTTTAGATTTTATGGCCTATAGCTTCTGAAATGAAGGAGAATGTGAATAAACATCACTATTGACAAAATTGCATGTTACGCCAGATTACTTAATTACTCTCAGTGTGTATCGTTACATGGGAGCCAAATAAAAAAAACCCATTGTGGTACACTGGTAGTGTCTTATTAAGTCAGTAAGCAATCTACTGAATATTGAAATGTTTGGTTCACTGGGTAGATCATCTCTCCCTGTATCATTCACTTGTTCCAATGACGGATTTTAATTTGGCTACATTCCTTTTTTTAATAATCTGTACAACTGATTTAGGTCTGTGTATTTTCCCGGACAACACCATTTGCACATCTTCTTCCTGCCCACAATCTGATCAGTTCTCCATCAAGATTTGAGATATGGAGCTGGTGCATGACCAGATGTGTTTCTTTTTGAAGGAGGGTGGTGACAGGGCCACATGATAGCTATTCGTATCTCCACTAATGCAAATTATCACCTGTCTTAGGAAAGAGCTGTATGGCAGGAACAACCCAGGCCTCTTGCTGTGGACATTCTCACCTGCTCTGCTCCCAGAACTAATAGAGGGGGGAAAAAATTCATATGGAGAGGTTGCTCTCCTAGACAGCTAGAATCAGTGTAGACAGAATTATGAAACTGTGTACTTATAAGAACTTATACGTATCGGAACCAAGCATTTTTTAAAACTCTGCCTCTGTCCAGGACACCTGATCTCATCTTAGTCATCAATTCCAGCCTGGAAAAGTACATGAAGGAGGAAATTGGGGTGGGGGGGAGTGTGACTCTTGCAGCATCTTCAACTCTCTGTACTTTCTTTCCACTTCCTCATCTCTACATTGCTGACCTCAGTCTGGAAAAGTGGGCAGAGGGCCACTGGGGAGCAGAGATGGATTTAGGGTAGCACGACTGTTTCCGCTGCACTGGGCACCAAGCCTAGGAGACATTGCAGGGCGCCACAATGGTGGCATTGTGAATTGAATAGAACAAGGTGAGAGATGGCGGGGGGCAGGGGAGAGAGAGAGAGAAAGCGCTGAATTTTGGACTTGCACAGCACCGCTGAAATTTGAAAGACCAAAATTTACCCCTGCTGGGGAAGAAACCTTGAGAGCCACAGGTAGCCCACAGATTGCCCACTTATGTGTTAGCTTGTGCTACTCTTAAATCTTCTGGAATAACTCCTAATAGGTCTAATTGACAGCAGGGAATTCTATCTTGTGGGGGCCTTGGTTGAAACAAATGTGCCCCTTTTCTGTTGTTTGGTGTCAGACCTTGTGGACCCTTGTGTAATGCGTCCTCATTGGGTCTCATGCACTTCATGTCTTTATGTGTGCACACACAAACCAAGCCTTTTCGAAAACTCTGCCTCTGAAATTTTTGGAGATGGCTGTTTCTGTTGAGGAGGCGGGCCCTTTACCATATTGGACTCCTAACAAATACCCGACAATAACCTCTACTGCTATTTATTTCCTGCATTAGACTAATGCTATGGAGAAAAAATATCCCAGTTTGCTTTGTAGGAAGATGTTTTTGTTTCTGTTTTTGAAACTCATTAATGAGCAGCAAAGTGGAATACGCTTTCAGTATAGAAATGTTATTTGTTGGACTGGGAACACTTCCTTCAGATTAGGAACAGTATTTTTAATCTCATGGTTTCCTGTATTCATTTGTTGTGTCTTATTTTTGTCATTGTCAGGGCAAAATGAAACTGCTCTTTCATTTCTTAACAAGTCATAAATCATTTTTACTATTCACTATTTTCATACTGATGAGTTGTTTATGTAAGCACATAGTCTCCCGTCTCCCCTGCATTTTGCTATGGAAGCGCACCTTCTTGCAATTGGTTTTGTGTTAGTCGTAGATCAACAAAACCTATCGTATAGAACATCTGAAACCCTTTCGTATAATGGGTGTTTCAACAACCTTTGCATAATGTTATAAATATACATCTCATTGCATATTCCATTCTCTATACTTGATTTCACTTTGGTGAGCAGTAACATTCCCCGTGACCTTAAGGGTGAATTTTATGATATTGAGAGATGTATCTGTGGCACAGAAGTTACTTCTCAGCTTCCTTCCTGTCAGTTTTCCCTGTGAAGCAACAAAACTCTCTTTTGTAGCCGGAGTTTATAGAGCAGCTTGATGGGGGTTGAAATAGAGTGGTATGTTGGGAAATTCCATTTTAAAGGAATGACAGGCAGATGCATGTGTAAGTTTATTAACTGGGTTGCATCAGTAGCCCAGGTGTTCTTTAAAATAAATGAACATTATCTTAAAATGCAGTCTGAGATGATTGGGGGTGGTGGTCCTCCTTATAGATAATATACCGTATTTTTCGCTCTATAAGATGCACTAGACCACAAGACACACCTAGTTTTTGGAGGAGGAAATCAAGAAAAAAAAAATTCTGAATCTCAGAAGCCAGAACAGCAAGAGGGATCACTGGAGAGAGAAAGCAGCAATCCCTCTTGCTGTTCTGGCTTCTGGGATAGCTGCGCAGCCTGCATTCGCTCCATAAGATGCACACACATTTCCCCTTACTTTTTAGGAGGGGAAAAGTGAGTATTATAGAGCAAAAAATACGGTATTCCATGGACTATACATACTAATCTTAGTTGATTGAATTTTGCTTTTCATACAACAGAACTCTCATCTCTCTCTGTCTCTTTTTATCTTCTTCTCAGCCTTCTTTGAATCCTGGAGGAAGACAGGAATCTGATGTAGTTCTTTTAAACCACTGGAGTATTAGAAATTATGAAGTGCAACGTGGAGACATAGTTTCACTGGTGTAAGTAACTAAACTAAACTTCAATATATCTGCATTCTTCTTTGGTCCATTAATGTTCTTCAAAGGTTTTCATGTGAAATGCTGTTACGCAGTTATGGCTGCAGACAAGAACACGACAGATTCGTTGCATGAGTAACAAATTCAATTATTACTGTTGAATTCCAGATCTTCAAAGCGTTTATCATCATGCATTTGAAAGCGCAATGCCAGTATATGTGGCAATACATACTTGTGAATAAGAAATGCAAATGTAAGCAGCCTTCAGTGATGCAGCATTAATAATGATAATTATATGAATAATAAGACCACAGTGAAAGATGGTAGAAAAATATGTTGAATTGGTTGGATTAAAGATTTAGATACGTTGCCTCCTAAGCAAATTCCTCTTAGTGTGGAACGCAATACTTGATCTGCTTTGATGTAGATGTTGGCATTGCTCCATTTCAGGAAGAAGTATGATGTGGAAGTTGGACCAAAATTGGTCATTCCTGAAACATTCCTGAATCAGTTGTTGACTTATTCATGGAGTGAGTAGCCATTAGGTGGCACTGTTTCTCTGTTCAATGCTTCCCTCCATTTAGATAATGTAAACTGTCCTGCTCTTAATGCAATGTAGAAATAGAATGTCGAATTGTGCAGAACAGACACAATGACATTAAGCGAATTGATGGTACATGCTCTAATGACAAAATTTATTTTTTAGCTTTATAATCAATGCATGCACTGAACAGACAGCTATGAGAGTTGTCTTTGGTTTTCCCCTGCTGAAAGTTGTCCACATTGGAACTGGTTGTTGGGAAAGGTATATTTTTTATGTATACTGTTAGAAATTCTCAGAGTACACAAGCAGCGTTTATTGGTTGTTTCTGTATTAGCTGCTTGCTGTTGCATTTTGCAATAATGCTATTATGACTTTTTTTGTGTGATGATCTTTCAGCGGTAATGTTGTGAAGCTCATTCTTATTTATGTGCTTATTATATGCATAGTTGCTGCTTATGTCTGATAAGGCTCCAAAAAAGGATGCAACAAACCCACTCATAAGTAAGATTAATGCACAGATACCCATTTTCAACGACCTTGTGTTGGAGGAACTGTAATTACTTTGTGGAGGAGCAAGAAAACAAAGCACTCAGGCACAAGCACTGTTGAGGGGAAATCTGCCATCTTTGCCCTTTGTTGCCTCCTTTGACCTTCCATGTCCTTCACTGGCTACTTTGGACTTCCACGTGCTACAGGATAAAGCTTTCTCCCTCCCCCTAAAAAATAATATTCAGGATTGCACAGCCACAGTTGTCCTAATTTTTCTTGGTTCTTTCTCCTCCTAATGTCAAGAGAAACCTCACCAGTCATGTGTATGGGAAAGGGGTAACCTTTCTTGAAAGGTTCCCGGGCCCCTTGACTCTGTAAGGGTCTGGCTTGATTTGGCAGCCTCAGACAGTTGAGGAGAAGTAGGAGAAAGGTGCAGTGGTGGTGGCTGAAGGCTGGTACCCAGGGATGGAGAACTGCGGTTCCTCCCCTTCCGACTCCAGGGTGTCCAGAGGGGGAAACTGACCTGCTGGTTCTCCCTGATGCACTGCCCACATAGCTCAGAGCCTCATTTTGGAGGGAGAAGACTGCAGCCAGCTGGTGCAGGTAGCTGAGCAGGAGACAGAGGTGGCTGAACTGGAGTCAGAGTGACAGAGGGTCTTGTTCCCAAGATCCAGGTGCTGTCTTTTTAGGTGGGATCAGACAAAGTGTGCATCTGCACACATGGAATTTCCATAAGGCAAGAGAGTCTTGCAAGTGAACTTGTCATACCTTGTTGTTAAAAGCTGGGTGGGAGAGCCATGCCAATGGATGAGACATCTTCATTGCTTCTGTCCAGTTCTGAATCTTATGCCTTGGCTTTGGAATAATGACTAATGGACCCTTGGTGTGCTGCTAAGCCTGTGCTGTTACTTGCCTGAATAAATATCTCTTTCTTATGCTAAGGTGCATGGTAAGATTGTATACACTACCGTGTTTCCCAAACACTTGGTTTCAAAGGATAGTTGTGGTTATGGTGGAAGTGATGCCCTAGTGGTGTACATCAATCAAAGGTTACAATAAAGACTATAACATTGTACGAACCCTTCTGAATAAATGGAATTTTGGAAACCTGAATCTGATAATGCTTCATTTTTATGGGATATCATTACTTTATGTTATATTTCAATAAACATCTCCCTGCCACCTCCTCCCAAAAGATTATGATCTGCTGAGAAGTTCAACAATGTGTTGTGAATTCTTTGGGTATCTTATTTCCTAACTGTTATGCCCCATTTTCTACCATTAAAAGTGGCACCTGAAGTGGTGTACAAGCATAATAAAATAATAATAGAACACAATTGAAGCAAAAACCCAGAAACAATGTAAATTAATAACTAGCACAGTCAGATTAAAATTCTATGCAGAGGAAACCAAATGGATGCAGCTTTTTGGTAGTCATAAATACTAGGCAGTGAAATGTAGTGTAAGTTATTGATGGTTTGAAATAAAGCATGCAGTGTCAGTACATCCATAAATAATAGCCTCTTTAGTAAATTATTAGCTGAAAATGTTGGTGTTAAATCTGCTGCATCTGATCATTATTGTTTTTGAAATACAACTGACTGTAATCAGCAGCTGCTCTTTCCAAAGACATACAACGCTTACTGATTGGAATTGTTGTGGTGGAATTATCCTGAATTAAGCTTCCCCACCCCTCGCCTGATTTCATTCCACCACACTACCTAGGCACACCTTATTTTAGTTTAGGTTTGTTTGTACCTCAGAGATGGCAAGCATTAATCTTTGGGTTTCAGTATACTGTAGACAAAATGAAGACATAGTAGAATTGGTTAAACTGAGGGGGGCGGGGAAGAATAATTTAAGAACATTGTCAAAATTGCAAGAGAAATTTGAGGAAGTATCCCAGCACACACTTCTTTCCGTTATTTAAAATTTAGTGTGACATGGTGGTTTATTAACAAAAATAACTTGTCATACCTGCATACAGTTCTGTAATGCAACAGGTACTGTAGTGTAAAAGGAGTGTTTGAAATTGAGAAAGAAGCACTAGCATTATAACCAGTAAAACTAATGCAATAATCTCATGTTTGAATGCAACCTAGGTGCCATTAAGCAAGCTTGGGTAATAAAGAACTTTTAATGGCTCAGACCAAATAGAAATAGATTCTTGGTTCTAAATGTTTTCTGAATGCTTTAAAGGCTATATTTGCAACACAAAATTACAAATAAATTTAGTTTCCCTTGATATTTTCTAGTGTCTCATAGTTTGAGTCTCTTCTTGTAACTCAACTGGTACTCAAACCAAATGTTCTCTAAAACCATTATAGTTAATATCCATTGATAATCTTATTCATTCTGATAGTCTCAAGTATTGTCTGTTGTAATTATGCAGCACTGTCCACATCATCTAAGGTTTGTGATTAGAGTAAGTGAATCCTAAGAGCATTAAATACATCAGTAAACCTTTGGAGTGCTCTTCTGATCTATGATAAGCAGCTTTCCCAAACTAAGGAATAGAAAGGAATAGGAGACCAAAAAAGAAAAGAAAGAAAAAAGATTTGTAGCTTGAAAGAGACCAATTTAAAAATTTAAAAACATAAATTAAGCAAATCTAAACACCCACCCTAATCTTTCTCTCAAGGGTTTGCCAGTATTTTCTCTGCAATTGCTTTCTTCTGTGTTAAAATGATGCATATGGCTTTTTAGGAATTCTTAAAGTTGCATCAAGATGGGAAATCACCAGCATAAATATCCCATTTAGTATAGAAAAGCACAGCTGTTACTATATTTTAATTGGAAGCCTCGGTGCTGCCTGACTACCAAGCGAGACACAGATTCCCCTTTACAGATACATGCATTGGCATGGTTACAATGGCTTCGCCAGCCGAATAACATGTAAGGATTTGCACCCTTGCAGTTCTTCTGAATCGCCTTTTCCTGAAACCAGTGAGCAGATGGCAAAACAGTTACGATACAGAAAGCAACTGTCACACCCCTGCTGCATCCATTCTTTTCTCTTTTTCTCATAATTCTAGAACTCAGGTCATCCAGTTAAACTGATTGACAGAATATTCAGGACAGACAAAATGAAGTACCTCACACCATCATATAATCAATTTGCTGCCGCAAGATGATGTGATGGCTACTAACACAGATGGCTTTAGAATGGGGTTTAGCAAATCCATAGATGAAACAGCTGTATCAATACTATTAGTTATATACTATGTGTGTGTGTGTGTATATATATAACAGTGTGGTGTAGTGGTTAACAGTGGTAGACTCGTAATCTGGGGAACCGGGTTCGCTTCCCTGCTCCTCCACATGCAGCTGCTGGGTGACCTTGGGCTAGTCACACTTCTCTGAAGTCTCTCAGCCCCACTCACCTCACAGAGTGTTTGTTGTGGGGGAGGAAGGGAAAGGAGAATGTTAGCCGCTTTGAGACTCCTTCGGGTAGTGATAAAGCAGGATATCAAATCCAAACTTTTCTTCTTCTCTTCTTATGTGCAACCTCCAGGCTCAGAGTTAGTATGTCCTTAAGTACCAGTTGATGGGAGGAATAACTCCCCAAATCATGCCCTCTTGCCTCCTTGTGGCCTTCTAGAAGCATCTTTCACCACTGTGGCGAACAGGATTTTGTCTGATCCAACATCATCCCCAGATGTTCACATATTACAGTGGTACCTCTACTTATGAACGCGATCCGTTTCGGGGTGCCGTTCGCACCCCAAAAAAGTCTGTAAGTAGAGCGCCGCTACTGCGCATGTGTGAACTGCCATAGAGCATTTCTGCGCATGTGTGAAGCATGGAGATCACTTCTGCGCGAAGCACGGGCCGAACCCAGAAGTAAACTCTTCTGGGATTTGCCGCGTTCGTAACCTGAAAAGACGCAACGTGAAGCAAACGTAACACGAGGTATGACTGTACTTATTTACATGATGGATTTCAAAACTGTCTTTCTGGATAAATTGTCCTCCGAAGGCAGTTTATGATGGTCCAAAATAAACATAATAATTTGCACAAAAACAATGAGAAGAGCAAACAAATTAATAAAGCAATTCACCAGCAAATAAAACAACTTTAAAATTGCAGTGGCCGTGGCAGATATAACAGATATGAATATATAGAACCGTAAATCATACAAAATCCAACCTGAATGAAAAAGTCTTTAGGGCCCTCGCAAATGCCAGTCTGAGAGGGGAGGCAGGAGGAGTGAATGAATTTCCCTGTGAGAATATTCTAGAGATGCATGGTCATCACAGAAAAGGTAGTTGCTAGCCTAGCAGCCCCTACAGGTGGACCAGGAAGCAGAATCTCAAATGCTGAAATTGAGACCTTGGTGGTTCATACAAGTTCAGGTAGTTTTTCAGGTAGCCTGGTCTTAGACCATTTAGAGTTTTACAGGTTAATGCCAGCACGTCAAATTGGGCTTGAAAACAAATAGGCAGCCAGAGAAAATGGTGCAATGTGATTAGGGCTGGGTGATAATATTGTCCTAAGCCGGTTTGAAGTCCATATTGTGATATTGGTTTCATAATTTTTGACCTGGAAATATATCACGAATAAGGATGTGTGTTTGTGTGTGTGTTATGCAAAAATCACAAATGCAGGGGGGGCGGGGCGGGGGGAAACATGAAGCCAGCCATTGCCTCTACATAGCTCCATTCTTATTTCAGACATTGTAATATATCAGTATATCACTCGGCTATGAGTGATCACCAAAGAAGAAGAATATCGCAATGTTTATTTATCAGGTGATATATCATGATGTTGAAAACCAGATATTGCCCAGCCCTACTGCTCACCTCTACATAGTTCCATCCTTATTTCAGACATTGTGATATATTGGTATATCACTATGCTTTGCCCAGCCCTAAATGTGATCAGAATGCCTAGCTTCTACAGATGTTCTTGCTGCCACATTTTGCAAGAACGGAAGCTTCCAAACCATTTTTTAAGGTAGACACACATAGAATCCATTAGGGTCATGTTTTTGTTTTTTTAAATATATTAAGAGGGTTTTTTTGTTTTTGTCTTAATTTTGTCCTGTATAGCAAGCATTTAATATCTCTCTCTCTCTCTCTCTCTCACTCACACACACACACACACACACACACACACACAATTGTAAGGATACAGAATTGGGTTCCTAATTTCACATTAAAGAGTTTAGCAGCAATGCCAAGCCTTTTGAACTTGGAGGTTGTGTGGATTAATGCAAATGTGGTCCCCTCCCCCTGTTTTTGTTTTTAAAAGCCAGCCTTTAGTTGTCAATATCCTCTAGCAGGGAAGAACACTGTAGGAGTGCATGATCATGCATTTAAATACGTTTCCACAGCATCTCGGCTGTAAGGTCATATCCAACAGCAAGTTAAAAATAGACTGTGTTGAGTGTAAAGGGGAAGTTAAGCAGACACAAACAATGCAGCAGGCCTTCTGGGTATACAGGATGCCATTATCCTTTGCTTGCTAGTATTATATTTTCTCTCTTTGCAGTAGAGGCCACATTTCCCTTGCTACAGCTGTTATAGCGCTTGTTACAGCATAGATACTGTTTCTAATTTTATTGGTTTTCTCTAAGCAACACATGCGACATGACACAAGTAATATGTTTACAGTGTATTGTTTTTGAAAGGCATGGCTTTGAAAAATGTGCCCAGTGTATCACTGCAAGTTTACAAAGAGTACTGAACCACACAACTGAAGTCTGGGAGTTATGCACAGTTTGGCCAAATATTTATTCAACAACCAAAATCCCTTCTTATCCAGTCATTGTTGACGATATTGGGCTAGATGGTCTTCTTAGATATAATACAACTTTTAATGTTATTACATTGCTTTTTTGCTTTATTTCCCGTGTTCCGCCCGTGATGGATGTTGAAGGACAGTGTAAGAATACATATCTTGAAGATCAGGCAGTTTTGATATAGAGGACTACCTTATTTAAAAGGTCTAGTGAAACTGTCTGCTTTCCATCTCCCTTTCATTTTCTGCTTAGACTTCTGTTTGGGATAAAGCAATGTTAAGTTTACAGTTGTGAATATATCCCTTTAGAAAGACTTAGCATGCCAGCAAGCTGCTTAGATGCATAAATTTATAAGATTGGAACTGGGGTGTTTTAACCAGCAGTGCATATTGTATGTTCGTATCACATAATAATGGGCTTAATTAATGATCACCTTCTCTTTAACCCTTTCAACTATTCTCCATCAGGTGTTTCTTGGCATCTTGATTGAAACAGCTTGTATTGTGTTGAGAAAATGTTGCAAATTTAATTGGTATCTAAGCTCTTCATCTTGAATTCTCCTTTAATGTAGGCACAATGCATAATGTACTATTATACTATTATTTAGAGGTAACGAACACCAAGGGCGTTTGCCACTCAGGGAAAAATATGTTTCGAAAATGGAGATAAAATCAATAAGTAAAACTTTATAAATTGATGGAAGTTGTACTTGTTCCTTCTGGTTTGGTGACAACATGGATATGTGGACTCAGACTCTCTATGCAGAAATATATGTGAAAGCTTAAGAAGGGAAAAAATTGCTTTGCTTTCAAAGTGAGGCCTCTGTTCACCGAGTTGTGAATTTCATGGGTGTTTTTATTATTATATTTATATCTCACTCTTGCTCTCAGGTGCTCAGCATGTAGTTTTCCCAATTCGCAATCTTTCCTCACAACAACCCTGTGAAGTAGGTTAGTTTGAGATATGTTGATTGGCCCAATCTCACCCAGTGAGCTTCATGAAGGCTGAGTGAGGATCTGGGCTTCTAACCACTATATCTCACTGGGTCAAACTTTTCATTAAATAGTATTCATTAAATAGTTTCCAGCACCCACAGCACACAGTTCTAATACTTAGGAAGCCTAGATGATGACCATTTCGTACAGTTTAGATTGCTTGCAATGGCATGAATAATAATAATAATAATAATAATAATAATGTATTTATATGCCACCCATCTGACTGGATTGCCCCAGCCACTCTGGGTGGCTTCCAACAAATTAAACAATTAAGCACAGTTAAACTTCAAACATTAAAGAACTTTTCTATACAGGGCTGCCTTCAGATGTCTTCTGAAAGTCAAATAGTTGTTTGTTTCCTTGACATCTGATGGGAGGGCGTTCCACAGGGTGGGTGCGACTACCGAGAAGGCCCTCTGTCTGGTTCCCTGTAATATTCACTATAGGTATCAATGTGAAACTCACGTACAGATTAGAGCATTTGATGACAGATACACACATTCTTCTTCTTGTATTTGAGAGTAGGGAAGGACCTCTGCAGTCCCCCCAAAAAAAAGAAAAAGAAAAAGAAAAGCCCACAGTTACAATATACAATGTTGACGTTTGCATGGGTTTTGTGTTAATTCTTCTATGGAAGTGGTTTGTTCTTTTTTGCTACATGAAAAGCTCAATTATATGCAAAGATGCACATGTCAAAAAACATTCTGTACTACTTATCAGCTCTCATTTTCTTTCAATGACACCATTTAAATTTAAATGCATTTGGTGCGTAAGCAGAATTCATATGCTTGG